GTCTGATCTCAGTGAGTGTAGCATCGAGTATCAACCAACTTTAGTATGCGCCAAAGCCGGACATCTCACTACCTTCTAATGGCTAATTTAGGTCAATTAAGGTTCTACGATCAGTTAGTGATTACGACATCATGCGGAAACCCAACATTCTCCCTGACTAACTCGAGGGACACCAGTAAAAACCAATGTGTTGTAATAACGTAGCCATCGCTTCAACCATATTGGTCTACACCGTACAGTTTCCATGATCTATTGCTACTTACCTAAAATGTTCCCCAGATCCGGGTATAGGATATTTGCAAGAAATAACCCAAACAACCCTTTAAAAATAAAGCTGGCAAAGCAAACAATGAAAGCATTTTTAAAAATGATCTAACTCTAAAGGTAACCCCACTTTTTTTAGTTCTCCCCAGCAGAGTCGCCAGTTCTGTAATACGGCGGGAGAACTGACTTTTGGTTTAGCATTTTATCGCAAATGTTGCAGATAGCAAGAGTCGCCACTGACTTTTCTTTTATCCAATAAAGGAAAGGGTGAAAAGAACATGAAAAACCTTCGAGATTTTTCTGAGTTCAGGGGATAGGTTATGAAAAGGGAAGGTGTTGGCACCCTTTTCATCCGTAGTTATCTACGGGATCTTAATCGCTAGCTTACTTTTTGAAATGCTTTGTGTTGTGTATGTTTGAAAATGTTTTGAAAATGCGTAAGTGCAGCAACTTTGTAATGATTCTTGTATCAGTTAAGAATGCATACAAAGTATTTGTTTTTTGAAAATATTTCAGAAAAACGTTTGTGAAAAAGATATTTTGTTTTGTTTTTATGCGAGCAAGCAATTACGAGCTATCTACCTACTCAAAGGTTTTTCATGTTATTTTACTCCTCCTTTAGATAATGCTATCCTATCATTAGTTAGTAGGAAGCCCTATTGTTGGATGTTAAGGGACATGCGTGGGTCGTTGTTATGGTCATAAAAGGTAACATATAGGGATACCTTAGCAATTCGAAGGGACTGTCATTATATATTCGTAGGCAACATTGAGGGACAAGATCATTTCTCATAGGCAACTCAAGGGACATCGCGAGACTATGATTTATATGATGATTTTAACCGAGGGTCTTTGCTAAGGGTATCCCTACGTTCGAGGGACATGACCATTTTTATTCAAAGGTAACAAGTGAGGTTACCCTATAGGTGCAAATGTTAATAAGGATTCAATTCAGTTATTTATCTTGATTATGGTTATCTAAAGGTTGGTTTTAGATCTTTCCATACATGCCTAGTTACTATACAGTTATATATACAGACATACATAGTATAGGTGCGAAAAGTAAAGTGTGGGAAATAAAAATCCTACGCTATTACAAGGCTTCGGGAGTGAGGGTACAAAACAATAAAACGGGGTAAAAAGAAGGTAAAACCCTAATTAAAACTATTACATACTATAGCAGATACATAATTGGGAAAAATAATGCGAAAATAATAAAAGTAAGCGAAGATAAAAGAAGGAAGGAAATTGTTTTTTATGATTTTTTCTTGACAAAAATTTAATGATTAACGTAAAATCTAATTTATTTTAATTGATTAAAAAAGGTTAGTTAATTAAAGAAATGAAACCCTAAAATCTAAGTCGATTTAATTTAATTAAGAAAACCTAAAAAAATTAGGGTTGATTAAATTAAACCTAAAATTAAATTAAATTGATAAAAAAAACCTAAAATTAAATTAAAAACTAAAATTAAATTAAAACCTAAAATTGAATTAGGGTTTGTTAAAAAAGGTTTTGAAAAAGGTTTTGTAAAAGAATAGGGAAAAAAGAAGAAAAGAGTAAGGAGAATAGAGAATTGAAATAAAATAAACCAAATGAGTAGGGGTGGGTGTTGAACCCACGCCCTCAGAACCTTTCAGCCACAAGCTCACCAACAGGCCAAGCGCGCCTTGGTGTTAGGATCTGACCTCAGCGTGTTTTGTATTAAACCCTGCAAAATATGAAATTTTAGAAAACAAAGGGGCAAAAGGTTGGATCACACCCAGGCCCTTTGACACTAACTCCTTATCGCGCATGCTTCTACCGTTGGAGCGACTATATATTCGTTTATATAATTGAATCAATTAATATATAAAATAAACATGAATGCATTAACTGGAGAGGCTTCAGAGCCCTAGCTCTGGTCATCTTCTCTGGTTGCCCTCTTTCATTCAACCTGCAAAACAAGCAAGATTAGTGATCAAAAGCATCCTACCCCCATAAATCGAGGGCGACGAATCCAATGGCAAAGTTATTTTGGTCTAAAAACCCATGGTTTTTGAGTTATGAAGCAAAAAAGTAGGACCGGTGCAAACATGGTACTTTATGGTTCTGACTGCATGGGATCACGATGATGATCCAAAGTTGTACTAATGAAACTCAAGAGTATGTTAGTTGTGTTAATACATGTTAAAGCAAACAGAAAATCAAGATATGAATATTATTCATATTATGAAACCGGCGATGCCATGTAATGCGATTTCACACGTTTCAGACCATTCAATTTGGTCCAAACTTACTCTATAGGCTTGCTGGAAGAGAATGGAATGGAGGTTTTATAGTGAAAGGGTTTGTAACAAGGGTTTCAAGATTTAGGGTTCTTGAGAAAAAGTTTGATATTTTTACAACTTGGTGGCAAGGGTTTTCGTGTCTTGTATGATAATGAATGGGATAATATATAGTGGAAATTTAGGGCAAAAGGAATGGACTTAGACCTTGTGTAAGAAGATATGATTTTATCTTATTTATTTTGTATTATTAATGAATAAATCAAGAATAATTAAAATAATTAAAATAAAAAAGGGTCAAAGTGGTTTAAGGACAAGGTTTGAGGTTTATGGAGAATTTAATACACGTTTGGACTCTTAAACCATGGCCCAATAGCCCAAAGTATCAAGCTTGCTCAATTTGAACTTCACACATTTGCTCAAAATTTCCCAAATTGAAATGGTCATAACTCAATCAATTTTCATCTTTTGAAGGTGATCTTGAACTTTTTGGAAAGCTCAAGATGTCCTATACAATCCATATTTTGGTCATTTTTTCATTTGAGATTTATCTTGATGTAACGTGTCTTAACAAAAAGTGTCTTCTTGTTGACTTTTGAAATGACTTGTAATGTATTGGCCCGTATCTCTCAAATGAAACATTTTTTGGACTTGAGATTAGAGATACAAAGTTGAAGAGAATTTGAATTTCCTTCAAAATGAGCTTTAATTGGGAAAATTTGATAAAGCATGTGAAAGTTATCCTTGGTCAAAGTTCAGTTGACTTCTCCTAAGGAAACCCTAATTTGGCAAATTTTGACTTTTGATGATTTGAGGGCTTTTCTTTAGGAATCGTGATCAAACCTTGATCAAATGATGAATGTAACTTCAAAATGTTGATGTTGACCAAAAATCTAGAATTTTGACTGTACACTGACCACAGTTGACTTTTTACCCAATACAGTTCATTTTCAGTCATCTGAGCCATTGACTGAGCAAACTTGTGATGCAAGGCATGTAACTTGATATGAGCATTATTAGGGAAATATAAAGAACCATGAAAACCACTTGAGACCTTGGAAAACCAATCTTCCTTGAGAAATACAAAACCTTAGTTGTAAGTCCATTGCTTAGGAGGAGAAATTGTCTGATCAATTCTTGAGCAACCTTGAGCATTTAAGAACCCTAGGAGAATATCTTGAAGAAAAATTGGAGGGAAACTTTTGGGGTACAACACTTGGAACACAAAATTTTCCTAAACTGAATACTACGTCTAGGTTGACTCAGTTGGTACCTAACTTCAATGCTTCAAGTATCTAGTACATCACGACAGATTGATCAAGTCGTTATGATCACATTCACCATGAAACATTTACTCATCTCTAGTCAAACATATGGTGGGGCCACAACATTTCTTACACATTTACTTTCTCAATTGATCCACTCAAGAGTGAGAGACTCATGATCCATAGGATAATTGGAGTTTAACAATGCACACTTCCTACCGATTAATGTTCCAATGCTAATCATGATTTATCCAAACACTAACAGACTGGTGTTCCTGACATGTTCCTCAAAGGAATTTTTTTGTCCTATGGTTCCTTCATTGAGTGTAACAATGTTCCTACGCTTCCAATTGATATCCCATAAGTTGGTGGATTTTACTGGCTATATCGTCAAATTGATTCCTTACTGAGAGGGGTTGTCCTTGGTTTTTCCATGGTTAGGGTTATCAAAATCACTTACTCATGCTTGGAATGCTTGCTCTCTTCATTCACTAATTACGAAAACATAACTCAGACTAACAATTCTGGTGGTTATCGGGTTGCTAGTAGCTTTAAATTATACTCTATGATTCCCCACAAATCCTTCATAAGTTCGTCTGCCATACAAATATTCTTGGAAAGTTCACCTTATTCTGATGGAAGTCGTGGAAGTTTATGTTCCTGGACTTCGGACATGGATATTGAGATTTCCGACGGCCTTGCTTCCATCGCACTACCCAAACTGGTAATCCTCAATGATCTAACACAACTGGTTGTTGTTGCATTCTTCCATCTAAAGATCCCCACATCTTACCGACCCTACAGTTCAAGATTGAATCTATCCAGTTAACGCGTCCTTGTAGTGGCTCTGCCATAATCCTACCTATCACCTATTTAGTCAGTGAGTTGATCAAGTTCAGTAACTAAATAACATGATAGTAAAATCAAGCTAGAAACACACATATATAAGGATGAATTAGGTTTGTTGATGATGTCTCATGGCTAGGTCGAGGGTCCACCTGCTCTGATACCAACTATAATATCCTACTAATATGCGTCTAGAATCATATCAGTAAAATATTAATAACTGGTACTGAGTACATGCAAAAGTCGGAAAAAGAAATACATTACATACATTTCAAAATTACATTGAAAATGAATACAAGATGTATGTCTACAAAATAATGATACACAGCGGAAGAAAATATCAAGTATGGTCTTCACATCATCCAACCATAAAGCTTATGATCCAAGATTCTAGCAAAACCTCAACCCACATCGTACCTGAAAAATAATAAGATTAATTGGGTGAGATTACTAAATATCAATGAATTCCCATATCTTATGTGTCAACTCGGTTCTACAAAGTTCTAGATATAATTACATCTAGTAAGTATCCTACAAGATCGGTTCCGAAGTATATTTACTTAGACTGTGGGGGAAACTTGCTTTATAAATCCACACATTGGATAATCAGTAAGGAATAGAGAGAACCATGTATTTCTCCAATGAGCCATAACCATGACTCAACTAGTCCAATATCCCAAGGTCTAAGTCTCACATAGACATTCACCCGTAAGGGAAACGACAAAGAGAAAAAGGTATCGACCATCCTCGAGAGTTCATTCCTAAGGAATAGCTCCAAAAATTTGGACCATCATCCATATTTGAGAAAATCAATCAAAAAATAACCTATCAGTATGAAGTGGGGTTTGTCTCGGGAATCATGTCCACATAAAACAGCTCCATGCATGAAGTGGGGTCCATCTCGGGCTCATGTCCACGGAAAATAGCTTCATACATTCGCTTGTCCATTCTCATTCCTCTTATACTTATTATAACTAGGATTTATAAGACTTCAAAATTTTCCTCTTTGGAGACAAAGAGAACGGCTACCTACTTATGATAATTACTCTTAGTTATGCACCTTAAGGTTCACCTCACTAAGTATTCTCTTAATCACCAAAAAACATGAACATACATATGATGTTATCGTTACTACTTAGGTATAATATGGTTATGTAAGCTTAGGCATCTCGTAGACCATAATGTTAGCTTTCCAACGCCTCTGACCACGTCACAATCCGATTTATGAAGCTCAAGTCATGGTCGAAACAACAAAGGTAACTTTCTGCCAGAGGGAAATCGATTTACATCCTGGGTAAATTGATTTACATGCTTCAGTTTTTTCCCAGAAATCCATTTTTTCAAAGAGAAATTGATTTACATACTTGGTAAATTGATTTACCACTGAAGAAGAGTCAAAATGGTATATTTCCTGCATAAAATCAGTTCCATAAGCATCCTAATACATCCCTAAGTCCCCCAAACAGAGCCTAAGCATTCTTTGACAGTAGAAACATGTAATTGACTCAACATTCATCATACATACTCAATTTTTTCATGGTTCACACACAATTCACAATTACATCACTAATATTATCATGATTTACACACTAGTGAAACAAAAAATCATGTTACTACAATCCAAACAAGGAATTCATGTTTCACACCACTATGTCAAATCATATCATAGAACGACCATAATAGAACCACAATCTAATATGTTGTTTTATTCACACTTCGATTCAAATATATCCTAAACTCATATTCTCATTCAACACCCAAGCCTACAACATCATCACAATAAGGTAAACACGCATGAAATTAATAATGATCATTAGAAAAGAGATATGTATACCAATATGAGCCATATCTTATAAAACACAACATTCACAACATGTATTATATGCAACAAGGTTTCATGTATCATATGCAACAAGGTTTCATGTTCAATCAAGAAGGATCAAAACCTAAGCCCAAAGCCTTTAATCATATCAATCTAACCCCTAAATTCTATCTCAAGTAACTATCCAATGGAACCCACCTGGTATGATGTTCTGATTCCACTTTCGTTCACTTGTGCCGCTCCAAAGCACGACAATCTGTATGTTGGTTTCTGCATAATTCTGCATCAGACCTCCATCTTTAAACACACATTCATACCTTATAAATAACATCCAGCTAACGAAATTAGTGTCTTAACTGAAGGAAATTTCATGTAGATTCCAGAAAATCAAGAATCGTGTCGATATTAGTTACATAGAGAAAGCCATCACCTGTTTAATGGAGGCTGGTCAAGGAATCTGAATTTGCACATCTCCATAATCTCTTTGACCACTCACCCAATTCTTGATCTTCAACCCCTAACTTCTCTTTCTCCAAGATTTCCACCATTGATGAACATTCTGAAATTGATGATGAGAATGGAGATGATGGCAATGATCCTCCTACTTGATCCTTGTTCTCCTTCCAAAAATGGTGAAGCTTTGTACATGCAAGACAAGGGTGAAGCTTAAATCTACTATTTTCCTCTTCTATTCCATTCACGCTTCTTTCCCCTTATCTCTCTCCCTTCTCCTAATTTTTAAAAATGAATCAAGTCTTTGTATCCAAACAGCCCCTTATTAAGGGTAATGACCACAATGCCCTCAATGCTTAATCTAATTTAATAAAATGTCATTCACATGATTTTTCTACTAATCTCTCCCTAATTTATATTATGTTTATAGGGTAGATATTTAGCTCTTGGCCTTTCATATTCTTGCTTATAAAATTTGGGATATTACAGCTTTGGTGGTAGTATCTGATACATGTTCTCTCTTCTTATTTTTCTTTTTCTTCTTCTTCTTCTTGTGTCTGTATTTTCCAAACCAACTAGAAAATCCTTTCTAATATTACTTTGTCTCTTTAAACGCGAAAGAGGAATTATTGATCTCTCAAAAGCTAAAAAATTAATTATTAACCATAAACAATGTTTTCAAGATCAAATGCATCATACTTAGTGATTGAATATTTTAAAAAATGTTGAAGTGAATTAACCGTATCACCGATTACCTACCTCCAACTGCCATAAAACAGTAGCAAAAGGAAAATTTAAAATAAGGAGATTGAAATTGTAGACCTCTTTGTACACAACATTGCTAGTAGTCGAACTTGATTCTTTGTGCTAGTTGTGAATTTAAATTCCCAAACCACTCTTGCTCTTAACGAAATTTCTACATATAATTGACCATGACTAAAAATGGGAGTAGGCAAGTATAATCTTATATTATCAAGTAATTGACCTTGAGATTTATTAATTCTCGTTGTATATGAGTTCGTGATGATACATTGTCTCCTAATAAATTTGAACAGCCATGGTAATTTAAAAGGTGACATACACATTTAGGGAATGTAAATTATGTTGCCAATATTATTTCGAAACATACTTTTGGCCTCAATGACGTGATTTTTTAATCTTATCACAATTAATCTTGTTTCATTACATAACCCTTCAGCTTGGTCCAAATTCCTCAATAGCATAATGGGAGTTTCAAATTTCAGTTTAATCTTGTGATTTGGTATACCTTATGTTCTCAAAGATCTCAAAAATTCTGGAGTTAGAACTTCATAAGCTTGATTAACATTGACTTTCATCCTATCAATTGAATCTGAACTTAGAAATTCTTTTTCTTCTCCTTCAATATAGTATAAAATTAAAATACTAGTAATAGAATATGATTAAAGAATATACATAAATGAACATAAGTTTACATTTTGTACCTAGAATTAAGTCTAATACATAATCATTGATTTTTTTCCACAACATCAATGATTGAAGCAAGAATAGCTCTGCATTGTGAGAATTCTTCATTTTTACAATTTTCTAAAAGTTTGGGATATATGCTCTCAAAAATTGAATTAATAGGATAAAGATCTCTTCAGAAACTTCTATATATACCAAATCATTATTTGGTTCACAAATCTTACCATGCCCTACATTTAAAATCCATTTTGAGAATTCAGCTAGTTCTGAAGAACTTTTATTTCGTGAACCTTGTTGAAGCCTCGTATTTTTTGTTAGAGTAAAAACCTGACAATAATCGCATACATAAAATAAGATAATGGAAGCATGGACTATATCAGAATGACTTCCTCTAGGAACTGAAACAACCAGCTGAAAATCATCAAACAATGAAGTCTCCATCGAACGTCTTTTATCCCACATGAAGGGAAAGGTAAACATCGAGAAAACCTGAGAAGGGAGAAGTCACGATCTTGCGATAGAGATATAGAGTAAGGGAGTCCGTTACGCAAGGGGGAGGTATTAGCAACCCACACGCTCGTAGTACTCTATGGTATCCACTCTTTTTATCTATCTTATGGGTGTGTCTAAACTATGCTTATTGTTTACTGCTGAGGAATAATGCATGCAAAAGAAAGGAGAAAATAATGTATGGAAAATAAAGTTGTGCTCGCTTGGGCCGTACCCCAATGCCTATGTATCCTTTTTGAGTAATCAGAGTTACCGTAGTTCGGATCATATGTTTTTGTTTGTTTGGTGTTTTTTATGAACAATGTTAATTTTGCCTTCTGCCGCGGCTCAACCTTTGGAGACTCACACGTTGGCACAGAAGTAAATTAATCATGTCCTTATTGAAGATGGTTTTGAGAGAAAAGGTGCTTGGGCACACAAAAAGGTTTAAGTTGGTTTGTATTTTGTTACCTTAAAAAAAGGTTTAAGTATGATTAGCATGTTTTATGATTTGCTAAGAAAAGAACGTTTAGTTTTAAATGCATATGCAAAAGGGGAAGAAAAGAGTCTAAGGGAGACTAGCCTATTTCTAAATCTAATGTTATCATACAATGGTTTCCCTACGTCAAGGATGAAAGGGAAATCTCTACCTAATGTTAGCATGCATGGTTTGCAACCTAAGGTCTAACTTGTATCTGAAAAGAAACAAGTACATCATAAAGGAACATGGTATGTACAAGGATAAAAGCAAGTAAGCTCGAAGGAGTACACACATAAAATGGCAAGGAAAAGAAGTGAAATGTTTTAGTCAATGGGAGAGTATCACCCGAGACAAACAAGCGGGAGTAGGATGTAAAACAAAAATGTGATGTCCAAAGTGACTGAACACCTAACCAAGATATAGGAGATCGAGGTAGACGACAAAAGGAAATATGAATGATCACAGAGTATCAGCACCGGCCAATGCGAACTCTTGAAAAAGTGTGGGGGTTCAATTGCCAGACCCTTCCCCACTTGATGACTCGATAACAAGAGCAGGCACAACTCCAAAGCTTCATGGTGCGTCACGAGCTAAGGATGACACGAACGAAATTGTGGGGGTTGATTACGAACCCTCCTTGCTCGCCTCCTTTTGAGGAATTCAATAAGGGATGGGAGAATAATACGGGCACAAACGTAAACACACCTGCAGAATACCTGCTCAAAGGCGGGGTTTTAAACAAACCACACATAAGTAGCAAACAAAATGCACACAATGTAGAATTTCCCTAAACAGGTCTTTAAATAAACCAGAGGGATTCCTGACATTATCAACAACGGAGATCCCCTTCATACATCTCTACCCTACTTCTCATGGCATCAGAAAGCAGTAAATCCCTACTTCTCATGATCTCTAGAAAAACGGTGAAGTGTGGAAATGAGGAATAAAAGTAAAGCCACGATGATACCTAACAGAGCAGGTTTGTTGCCTCTTCAAAACCATGCAAGCAATAAGAAAACTCTACTGAAACTGCTTCACACAAGTGATCAAAGAATTAATATCCAAGTATTCCACATTGCGAAAGTTACATCGACATTCTATCACAAAATCTTGGCTAAAAATGGCCACAAAAAATGATTACCAAGCATAAAAGTAATAATAGAAAATTCTAATAAAATTCTAAAGAGAAAACCTAAGAATTCTAAAATATTTCCTAAAATATTCTAACTATTTTTTTAGGTTATTTTGTCATGCAATAAAAATTAACAAAGGACAATAAAATAATATTGGTAAAGAAAAATAAAATGAAAATGTAAAGAGTTCAGGGGGGTGCTAAGCTGGATTCAGGGGTGTAAAATAGTAAAGAATTCTAGGCTCATTCTGCAAGTCCAAATAGAAGCTTTTTGTGTCAGGCAACAAGCTACCAAAAATGTACCAACAGGCTTAAGCAAGGCACAAAAATCCGGCCCAAGTCCAAGCATCACCTATCCAAATTTTAATTTCTTATTGTCAACATTATTTATTATCAAAAATAAAAATAAAGAAATAAAGAAATTAAAAGGGGTGGAACGGTGTCATTTGATGGCTCTTAGGGTTGAAACGTGACTTCTCAACTTCTTCTTGAATCATAACTCAATTCTCTCCTCTCTTCAATGGTGCGACTCGTCACGTTATTTGCCTATCTGTTCTCCGCTCAGCTCAGCCTTCTGCTGCCGAGTTTTACTTCCATTGTCTTTGTTTTGCAATATTCTTTTTGACACCGTGAATCATAAAACTCTCTTCGTCGTCCATTCGGTTCTCACCTCTTCAATTCGCGACAAACATCATCGTGAAAGTTTCTTCTCCTCTTCCTTCACTCAAACTCAGAAGGCGCTACCATCACAAACTTCTTCTCAGTTTTCTTTGTCGAGCTTCAACCTCGAGGTCCATCGTGACCTCCTCCTTCTCATCGTTGCAGATTCTATCAAATGGAAAACTAGAAAGTTATTCAGGTAATCGCTCATGCATTCTTCTTCTTTCTACTACAAATTATTTTCTTCTTCAATGTTTGTGCAATTTTCGTTGATGTTGTCGCACTTGCAGATTTGATGAAGTTGTATGATGAAGCTGCAAGAGATGCGATGATGATGTTGATGTTGTTGCGGAAAGATTTCCTAGAGTGATGAAGAATTGTGACCTTCTAATGAAGGTTGATGATGATTGAAGGTGCAAAGTTGATGAAGATTATGAAGATGTAAAGAGAAATTGTTAGGACACGGTGAAGTTGAAACAATTGCACGGTGGATGATAATTGAAGCACTGTGATGTTGAAGTTGATGAAGATTTTGATTTGATAATGATGAAGGTCGTGTGTTGTTCAGAGAGATTTTGTAGAGAAGGTTTTTGTGAATTTTTTGGTGAGTTTCTTCTCTCAATTCTGATTTTGAATCGTGTATGATGAGAGAGTTAGAGAGAGTTTTTTCTGAGTTTATTTGTGATCTTTCCAATTTTTCTCTCTAAAAGTATTGACTGAATTCCTTCCCCTCTATCCTGTTTTTCTGCTGGAAGTTTGTTATCTGTTTTTTATTTTTCTTCCGTTAGGAGTTGGCAGTTTGTTAGAGGGTGAGTT